ACTGGGAGGGGGGTAGTTGTGGGGGGAAAAATGAGGAACAAATGTAATAATCTGAACAATAAAGATTTAATTAATTAAAAAAAGAAACTTTTCCTTTACTCTTTGTAAATAATTATTTATGTATTTTATTTTCTTGCCTAGATTCCTTCGAAGCAGGGCTATGTTTGACTTAGCTTTCTATCTCCACAGTGACTAGCATTTAACCTTTTGTAGAAAGTCAATAATTACTCATTTAATTAAAAAATTAATTAATTAGAAAAGAAGACAAATTTTAAGCCTTTACAGCAACTGATGTTTTCTTCTTTTAAAGGTGAGTGGAGCTCTCTTGGGTCCTCTCTTCCAAGATGACCAAGAAAAGAAGGAACAACGGTCATGCCAAAAAGGGCCACAGCCATGTGTAGCCTTTTTACTGCACCAACTTTGCTTAAATGTGTGCCCAAAGACAAGGCCATTAGGATGTTCAGCATTCCAAACACAGTAGGGGCCTCAGTCACAGGCTTTGTCCTCACACCAAAGCCAGTGTCCTCACACCTAAGTGTTTCCTAAGCTGTATGTGAAACTCCACCACTGTGTGAGCTGTGCCATTCACGGCAAGGTGGTCAGGAATCCTTTTCCTGAAGCCCGGAAGGACTGAACACCCCACCCCAATTTAGACCTTTGGGTGCTGCCCCATGACCGCTACCTAAGCCCATGTAAGGGGCTAAAGCCTAAGGACTGAAGATATATTCTCTGGAAAAAAATAAAAAAATGTTAAAAAGATGAATGGGTATGTTATAAATTTAGTATATATGCTTATTTTTTAATAATTTAGAAATATGATAAACTTCTTAAATTAATTGCTATTAAAAATAAATTATGTTGATGAACTGCCTTTTCATCATAGTGGGATACACTTGGATTGTAACTCTATAACTATCTAGCTACCAAGATCATATTTTCATTTTCTTCTAACATATTTTCCTGTTTTATCTGCCTTTATTTTTCCAACTTTATTGAGATATAATTGACATATAACATTGTGTAAGTTAAAGGTATATAATTCGTTTTGATATACTTATATACTGCAAAATGTTTAACACCATTCCATTAGCTAATACCTCCATTAAGGTTCATAATTACTATTTCTTTTCAGTGATGCCTTTATCTTTAGATGCCATCTAAAGTAAACTATGAGTGCTGTTTCCCTAAGCACCCCTTAATCATGGTTATTGTAAACAGCTATTGGTATAAGGATGGTGGTAGCATATGCAACAATATAAATAAGTTTCATTCACTATGAAAAATTGCACATATCTTCTGATTTTATATTTTGAAAGAAATTAATCTGATTAGTCTTAACAGAAATCAGATGGGACATTATGTAAAATTTCAAAACCTGAAAATGCAAAATTCAATTCTATACTTTGTGGGTAAATAATACTGCCACAATGCCAGTGTGTGACCATTTTAATAAGCAAATTTTTTGTAGGCTGACAATTTCTTAAACTTGTTAATAAAATGGTATTATGTATAAGAATGACAGCAAAGCAACAAAAAGTTTTTCTTACCAAGATATTAAGCTCTTCATTTAGACTGTGGTACTTATCCAGTTTGGCTCCCAATAAGGTAGGATCTCTGACATTCTTGGTTTCATTTGAATCAAAGTCTGTAACCTGAGATTAAATATTTGTGCTCACTTCCAATACTTTCACAATCCTTTGAGTATTTGAAAATAAATACTTTATTAGTGAAACAAAGAGATTTTCAGGGGCTAGAATAAAAGAAGCATTTACAGCTAGAAGGAGCTAAACAAATTTACCAAGAGAATATACAAATGTGAAATTGTATTTTTATATGGTAAAGACAGTACATAGTAAATGTTAAACTCACGTCAATAACCTGATCTTGAAATGCTTTTTCATTAGCAATTAACTCTCTAAAAGTTGCAATTCTTTCTTTATGTTTCCGTAGCTAAGAAAAAAAGCATTTTGTATTTTAGAGAGTGAGAAGAAATAAAACTATATTCTATAACATCTATATATATAAAAGGCTAAGCAACCAGCCAACTGGCTGACTGGCCGACCGGCTGATAGGTATGACGTGCACTGACTACCAGGGGACAGGTGCTCAATGCAGGAGCTGCTGAGCAATGGCAACTTTGCAGAGTGCCCTCTTGCACTCTGGGACCCCCTCAAGGGATGTCAGAGAGTCAGTTTTGGCCTGATCTCTGCAGGTCAGGCCGAGGAACCCCCACCTGCTGGAGGGACCCTGCTCACTCTGCAGATGCCCTTCGAGCCGAGGCGCCGCCCCAGGTGCAGCCGGCCGGGGAAGGACCATAGGAGGCTGGATCCAGGGTGTGTCCGGCCCAACTTGCCCAGTCTCACCCCACCTTCTAATGAATTTCCTTTCAATGTGCACAAATCCGTGCACTGGATCTCAAGTCTATACTAATAAAAATGTAATATGCTAATTAGACCAGGAGACCTTCTGGAGACCTCCTGGACGTCCTTCCGGACAAAACCAGGAGCTTGGCCAGCTTGCAAACCAGCCCCTGCAAATGGACCTCAGCCCCTTGCCCAGGCCGGCCACGACCCCCCAGCAGGAACCCTCAGCCCGATGGGGGCATGGCCAGCTTGCAAACAGCCCTCAGCCCCTCACCCAGGCTGACTACGCCTCCCAGTGAGAACCCTCACTCTGATGGGGGTGTGGCCAGCCTGAAAACAGTGTTCAGCCCCTCGCCCAGGCAGGCCATACCCCCCAGCAGGGACCCTCACCCTGATAGGGGCATGACCAGCTTGCAAACGGCTATCAGCCCCTCACACAGGCTGGCAACACCCCCTAGTGGGCACCCCCAACCTGATGGGGGCATGGCCGGCCTGCATACTGCCCCAACCCCTCAGCCAGGCTGGCACCGCCCCTGGCGGGGGTGTGGCCAGCCTGCAAACCGCCACAGGCCTCTCACCCAGGCCAGCCCCACCCCTCAAGGGGACCCCCAACCTGATCCGGGACTCCCTTCAGGGCAGACCAGCCAGCCCCCACCCATGCACCAGGCCTCTATCTATACTAATAAAAGGGTAAAATGCTAATTAGACTGGGAGATCTTCTGGGAGACCTTCCAGATGTCTTCTGGACAAAACCATGGTGGCGGGGCCTAGGCAGAAGCAGTTAGGGGCGAT